ATTATTATTATTATTATTATTATTATTATTATTATTATTATTATTAAATAGCCATCTACATACAACTCACCATGTCTCTACGCTGGTGACTCAGCTTCTACCTGCCATCTAAACATACAAAGCTGTCAAGCAGCTTCACAAAATACAAATCACGAAACTGTGTACAAGAATTTGTATTATAATGAGTATTTCCTCCCGGCTTTTAAGGAAAGAAAAGAAGAGCAAGTGTCTGGAATACTACATTTTGAAAGCATTCTTCTCCTAATATTATCCCCTAAAAACTTTGCTTTAGGTTAATTTGTGGCCCATTTTCATGTAGCTGTTTTCAATTAAAAAGAAATCATCATGTGAGTAAAGTTAATCATTCTAATTTTAAAATTATGAAAATACATTCTGGGTTTTGCTTTCTTCATTTACATATAATATTAGCCCTAAAGGTGTGGTTTAATATATTCCTTTGTAAAGAAAAACTATCTGAAAATGTAAGAATTAAAAAGATCTATTACTTTATTTCAAGAACTATACTCCTTTTAAAGCATTTTGCATTTAATATATTGCATGCCAATGTCTTATGTGGGTATTTTTTCCACCAATGCAGTGAATAACCTTTCTATGGTTTCCCATCTTTTTTAATAATCACCCATGTCCTTCTAGAAAGAAAGCACTGGAAATTTCAGCACTAGAAATGTCACAAAATCAAACAGAAAAAACACAGTGAAGAACATGAATATTTCAGTCACCCAAATAATCACCACATCCAATAGCTTTCTCATTCCTGATACTCCTTGACGTCTTTGCAACATTTGACAATAATGATCATTTATTGTCTTGCTTCTAGATAATCTCCTCCCTCTACTTTGATTATCATGGTTCTCTAACAGCCTCTATTCTGGCTTCTAGTCTTCTCCACAGATATCTTAATATAGTCATTTCTCCATGCTGTTGTTGACCCTTTGCTCTCTTTTAACTTACATTGTTCCCTTCATAATCTCTCCAATCCCCATATTAAATATCTTTGCTACCTGAATGACTCTCAAATCTCTTATCTCCAATCTCAACCATTCTCCTGAGCTTCAGAACTATCACTCCACAACACTTTACAGGATGTGTGAATCTAGTCTAGTCTGCTATTCTTATATCAATTCTCACTGCCAACACCCCAGGTAATACTCATTATTCCTTAACTGAACCATTGCAATAGTCACCTAGCCAGTTTTTCCTCCTGCCTAAACATTGCTGTCAAATTAACTGTCCTATTACAAATAGCGGATGATGTGATTAGTATAAAAATATCTTCTAAAGCTCCCTAATCATTTTACTCCTCAGTCATCTTCTCCCCTAAACTAGAAACCAATCTTTTTGCTTAGAAACTCCTGCTATGAAGCCTGCTATACTGATTGGTAAATGCCTCAACAACGGTCCACCTTATTTAGATTAGCTCCAGCTATGCTTCAATTTATACCCTGTACATCTTCTCATAAACTAACTTGCCGCAACATGAAAAGCCACACTATTTTTATCCCTACTTTCTGGTTCTGAAATCCTAACCAAATCAACTTTACCTGCCACAGCAACTAGAAAGGATGTGTTGATCTACTCCCCTACAGCTCTGCTTCATTCCTGAAACTTTCCAAACCAAATAGCCCTCCCCTGGCTACCACTCTCCTATGTGTTGCTCCCTGCTCTTGCAACATAAACTCTTTGAGAGCAGAGACTGTTTGCTTTTGTTTTGGTAAACCCAGTAATTAGTACAGTTCCTGGCACACTGCGAGCACTTGAAAAATGCTTTTTCATTCCTTCCTTCCTTCGTTCATTCACTAGTTTACTCAGTCAGTCCAAGTACCTTAGCTTACAATTCAAAGGACCTTCACAATTTGGCTTCAATTTATTGTTCCGGTATTATCTCACACTACTCCATGCACACCTTAGCTCTATCTAACCTAGGAGTTCTTAATCCAGGATTTGTGAACTTGTTTCTTTAATATCTTGACAACTGTATTTCAATATGATAGTTCATCTTTTATCTTATGTATTTAAAACATTATTATGAGGAAGGGTTCATAGACTTCATCAAGGTGACAAAACATGCTATAACATAAAAAAGTTTAACAACCCTTGCTTCTAGTCACACTAGATTGTTTTTCATATCCTGAACATAGCTGGTACCATCTGTCCTCTGTTAGTTGTATTCTTTATATCTAAAAATCCTCTCAACTTCCAAAGCTGGCATCAATGCCACTTCCTCCAGTTGTATCATCACCATACCCAAAAAGGGATCCCTCCCTCGTATGCCAACAACCTCCAGACTAGTTGTCCATCTTGCCCTTACCAGGCCTAGACTCAAAGTCTCACCAGCTTGGTATGGCATGGCACACCTGAAATCTTCAGACATGGACTCTGAAGACCCAAGGTTCTCATATGACAATACTCATCTTTTTACTCATTCAGATCCCTTTACAAATCCTAATGGAATTTCCACTATATCTTTTTTCACGGTATTTTTTCTGTTTATATGATCACATATTTCTAGTTGTTAAAATCTAAAAAGCAAAAGAAGAAAACCATGGAAAATGTAAGCTCCATGAAAGGAAGTGATTATTTCACTTTTGTCTGGGCATCCCCATCTCTTAGCATAGTATTTAGCATGGGCTTAAGAAATGCTTGTTTGATTGACTGATTTCTCAGTTGCTACTAAAATTATTTCCAGGCCTCTTTACTAAAATAATAAAGAAACATTAAAAACCCAACATTTTTAATTATAAAGTTAACATTCACTGGCAAATAGAAATACATAGAAACACAAACAAAAATAAATTATTGTATATAAAAACTAAATTTTGTTTAGCTTGTTTTTTTAAAAGGTGAATAGCAACTTAAAATATAACTTAAAGAAAATCTTGCAAATATTGTGATGCATGCATCATATTAAGAATACTTACCCATCATTTGAACAAGTCAAAAACTCTTCCTTTATCTTGGGATGCCAGCAGCCAGTATTAAGCATTGCCGTGTGACCCTAAACAAATAAAAATAAATCTTTGATAAAAATGCAGACAGGGGCGGCTAGGTGGCACAGTGAATAGAGCTCTGGCCTTGGAGTTAGGAGGACCTGAGTTCAAATCCAGCCTCAGACACTTAACACTTACTAGCTGTGTGACCCTGGGCAAGTCACTTACTCCCAGTTGCCTCACCAACAAGCAAAAAAATAAAAAAAATAAAAAATAAAAGATAAAAATGCAGACAGGCAATTGGCAAAGATATTAAAAGGTAGGAAAGTCAGTGTTGGAGAAGTTGTGAAATGAAACGCATATTTGTGTCTTGTAATGAAGCTGTGAGTTAACATAATAATTTTTTATAACAATTTGGATTATATAAATAGTGACTAAAATGTCTATACCCCTTCACCCATATTTCACTACTGTTCATAACCCAAGGTCACCGACAAGAAGAAAGTCCCCATATATACCAAAATATTAAAAACAGCACTCCTTGAGAGAATAAAGAATTGAAAACAAGGTGGATGCCCATCAAGTGGGGAACAGCTAAACAAATTAATTATATGAATATAATGAAATATCACTATGCTATAAGAAATGACATATATAACAAATATAATGAAACATAAAAAGATGTGTATGAAGTAAGCAGAGCTAAGAAAACGATATACATAATGACCACAATAATGAAAATATTAAGAAACATCACCAAAAAATCAAAAGTGAATGTCTCAAAATTACAAAGAAGTAGTATGGCTTCAAAGAATAGATATGAGAAGACACACACACCCTACTTGTTTGCAGAGGCAGTAGGTGCAAAAGTGTATACTGTACATTATTTTCAGACTTTTTCTATGTATTTATCAATTTTGCTGATTTTTTTTCTTTAAAAATATTATTTGTTATATGGGATGACTCTCCAAGAGGAAAGCAGGAGAGGAGTACTGGGGGAAACTGGTAATTAAAAAAGAAAGATATCAATAAAAACTCATTAAAAAAAGGAAAAAAAAGAATGAACATAAGCTAAAATGTCCATGCCTTCTGACCCAGAGATTCCACTGCTAGGTACTGATAAAAAGAAAGGCTAGATAGATACCAAAATATTTATAGCAGCCCTTTGATGCTCATCAGTCTGGGAAACAGCTAAATAAACTATGGTACATAAATGTAATAGAATATTACTGTGCTATAAGAAATAATAAATATGATTAATATAAACATGAAAATATTTATATGAAATAATACAAAGTGAAGTGAGCAGAGTCAAAAAAAATATATACACAATATAAAGAAAAAGAACAGTCACAAAAGAATGGAAAATAAATGTTGCAAAATTACTAAGAATAAACATGGCTACAAAGAAAATATGTGAAAAGACAACCTTTCCCATTCTCTCTGTAGAGTTGAGAGATGGAAGGGAAAGAGGAATTTTCTACAGGTGTAGAACATTGCAAATATTGTCAGATTTTTCAATGAACTGATGGGTTTTCATCAATTTTTTCCTCTCTTTCCAATAAAAGAAATTCTTTGTTATATGGGATGGCTCCCTTTAAAGGGGAGAGGGGGAACAGGAGGTAATTTGGGTGCTATAAAGTGCATACAGACCTAGTTTTATTTTAATTAGAGATTCTAGCACTCAAAAAATTAATTAAAAGATATGACACTCTGATTTTACCTCATAACTTAGAAAAACATGTATAGTCTTATGTGAAACGATGCAAAGTGAAGTGATGAGAACCAGAACACTGTATACAGTAACAGCAATATTGTAATAATGATCTTCTGTGAAACTCTTAGCTACTCTGATCATTACAATGATCCAACATATCTCTGAAGGGCTCATGACAAAAAATGCTATCCACCTCCAGGGAGTTCTATTGAACTGAGTGCAAGTTGAAGCACAATTTTCTCACTTTCTTTATTTTTCTTGCTTTTCTTTTTTGCTATATGTCTAATATGGAAATATATTTTGCATGACTTTACATGTATAATTGATATCATATTGTTTGTCTTCTCAGTGGGTGGGGAAGGGGCTGGGAGAGAGTGAATTTAGAACTCAAAATATACAAAAATGGAAAATGAGGTGGGGAGAGAGAGGGAATCACATGAAATTCACTCTCATCTGACTGAGACAAAAGATGGTACATATGCACAGACACATAGATGGAATATTATAGCCAAATTCCAGAATTCCCAGGTAAAAGAGAAGATACTTCAAGCAGCTAGAAAGAAACAATATTGCAGAGCTACAGTCAGAATCACACAAAATTCAGCAGTTTCCACATTAAAGAGAGGAGGGGCTTGGAATATGATATTCCAGAAGGCAGAAGAGCTAAGTTATAGCCAAGAATCACCTACCCAGCAAAACTGAGTGTAATCCTTCGGGGAAGAGGAAATGGATATTTAACAAAACAGAGAATTTTCCAGCATTCTAGATGAAAAGACCAGAGCTGAACAGAATACCTGACATTCAAACAGAAGATTCAAAAGAAGCATAAAAAGGTAAACATGAAATAGTAATCATAAGTAATCATAACTCAATAAAGTTAAATTGTTTACACTGGGAACATATGGGTAGATGATATATGTAACTCCTAAGAACTTTATCATTACTGAAGCAGTTAAAAGGAGTTTACATAGACAGAGGGCATGGATGTGAGTCAATTATATTGGAATGATATCTAAAAAAATTAAAGACGGAAAAAGAGGAATGCAACCAAAACACTCCTTACGCGAAGATTTAGATCTCCAAACCCTTTCAGCAGTAAGATACAAAAATTACTTGATGGCTACATATTGCCATCTGCTCATACCTACCAAGTTTCTTTACAGTACCCTCTATTTGGGGGCACTGTTATTTTGGGGGCACCTCTTCAGATGCAATTGTATTCCAGATTTCACTGCTACAGAGCAACAGCAGCAAAATGTATTGAAGAAATCATATAATTATTAGGGAAAAAATGCAATCTTATACTATAAAGAACATTTGAAGACATATGGGGGGAAAGGGAAAGGGAAGAAGCATTTATTGCCTATTACAGGCACTGTTCTAAGCATATATAAATATTATCTCACTTGATCCAACTCTTCCATTTTGTAGATGAGGAAACTTAGTCATAAAATAATTAAGTGACTTTCCCAAAGTTACATAGTGAATTAGAGATAGAGCCAGGACTAAAACACAAGTCTTCAGTTTCCTAGTTCAGAACAGTTATCACTGTACCATGCTGCTGACACCACAGATTCACAAACCACAGTTAGAATACTTAATAGCTAATATCAATTAATTTAATTATGAGGGACATTGTGGTGGAATGTCTAGAGAGGTCCCTTCAAAGGCAAGAAGACCTGGGTTCAAGTCCTGCTTTCAACAATACTGGCTATAGAACCCAGGGCAAGTTACCTTTTGTCTCAGGGGTCCAGGCAATAAGACATAGCTGCTAAAGTGATGCCTATCTACACTAGTAAAGGGTTTTCCTCACTAGGAACACCCCATGGTACTGAAATCATAGGTCTGGTTTAAAAAAAAAAAAAGGTTGTTAACTGGTTTTTTCTTAAAGCCTATAAAAACACACTATGAATATATAGCAGTTCTATAACGTGAAGTTAGCAATATTTTTGTCCATTACTCTGTAACGAAATACTTTGAAGATATATTTAAATTACAAATAATTATCAATTCACTCTCACATACAAATTTTTCTTTTGCTGGGCGGGGTGCAGATAGACTTGTTTTCATTAGTGAAGGGAATTCCCACTAAACAAATTCCCTCCACCAATGAAAATCAGAAACTGCTTTGCAACTTAGATTCTTAAGAAAGTGGTCTGAGTCACTGAGAGGTTAAATGATTGATTCAGGATCCCAGAAGTATGTCAAAAACTAGACTTGAAAACTGGTCTTCTGAACTAAAGACAGCTCTCTATTCACTTTGCCATATTGTCTCAAAAAGATTTTTATCATAGCAGTCAGCTATACTACTAAAATTTGCAGCATGCTCAATTCAACAACCAAGCAAATTAAATAAATAATGAAAAAATAACATGAGAGCAAATATACACCCACAGTAAAAATATATGCAACACACTCATTACGCTTTCTTTAAAAAAAAAAAAAAAAAAAAAACACTGACACCATGGGACAACAAATTTTTTTTTCTAAAGTTTTAAGAAAAAATAAATTTTTTTGCTTTCTATTCAATACTGACAGCTGATTGGACTGAGAAGAAAATGGAAGGTCAGGTTAAAATCAGGAACTTAAAACTGGAGTCTTTTACTAACTTCTAAGATTAATGTGGACAGGATGAAGTTTGGTCCTGGGAAATTAAGTTTGGTCTAATTCTGTAAGTGTGTCCTGTTTCTCCAGAAAAATAGCTTACAAACTTACTTGAAACTCTTAAAATTATTTGCTAAATTAATGAGAAATCAGAGATTCCATGTACCAGCCCTATAGATAAAGAGGAAGATACTTTTCATTTCAATTATCACATTTAAGAAAATGGAATACTCTATAACATTTAGCAAATATTTAACTTTACTCAAGATACGAACTTGAATATTTGTAGATTTGATTTGAAAAAGCTTGCTAGAAAACTTAAACATAGCAAGAAAAATTCCAAATGTATAAATAACTTAGAAATAAAAGTTCACATCATAAACAAGAAAGCAAGGAAGGAAATATCTAGAATAAACTATGGATATGAGAAGAGTGGATAATCAAACATGAGATAAAGAAGATCACAGACATTAAAATGATTGATTTTAAATACATAAAACTGAAAAACTTATGCAAAAAGAAAATTAAAAATAGTTCACAAATTAGAAGGAAAAGAATTAACTGACAAAAAACCTTTGAAGCAAGTTTCTCCAATAAAGGTCTAATAACTAAGCTACATAAAAAACTGATTCAAATATAAAATGATGACTGCCATTCCCCAATAGATAAATTGACAAATAACAAGAATAGGTAGTTCAGAGAAGAAGAAATCTAAGTTATCAACAAATGTGAAAAAGTCCTCCAAAC